CATGAAGACCAGCCTCTTGCTTTTTTCCTCTCAACTGCAAATCAATCATCCACTTGACAGCAAACTTTTGTTCTTAAGCCACTTAGCAGTAATCAGCTCACTTTTTATTTGCAATGTGTGAACAAGTAGTCTGTTTATTAGCTTAAGAAAAGCTCAAACGCATAGAGCTACAAACATCAGGCACCTCAGCACACACTAACACAGCATTCCTCCCATTTCTACCTTCTCGAGGCTGTACATAAGATCGCCAGGATTTGAGATCCATGGTGGAGATACCCCACAAGCATGAAGTGCCCACCATCCCACCACTTACAGGTTCACTCGCTACCTTTACAGTTACTACTATAAACCATGCCTCTCACCATACTTACATCTCATTTACCTCTGGAACACATCATACATACTTCACATGTTTAGAAGTCCTCTTGGCTTCCTTCTCCCAAGCATATCAAATGTCTTAATGCAACACTGCATAAGAGGCTGTCCATGCATCTACACTATACATGACTTACTTAAATAAGTAAGCAATTTGAAGTCCCTGAGTTACACACCACCTCCTTACGCCATTTCCCCAGAAGCCACTGCGTGCTTTTTGCTCTACCAATTAGCACTGCTCTTCCGTAACAGCAGCCACGGGTGATCTCAGGAGGTGTGCCACCCTCTTGTGTCCAAAACAAGTTTCAGTAGTCCCACCTGGAAGCAGGTGGCAGGATAGCACTAGACCAGACCAGAGGCCAACAGCCCTCAGGCGGATGGGCACACAGGTGTCTCTAAACCTCCCTTCAGAAGTTTGTTCTTGCTGCTGCTTGCATTTAAAAGAAAGTTCAGTATTTCAGACTAAGCAAGGAACCTTTGCCAATTAGAAGCAATTTTCAACAAATCATCATGATAGAGTACCAAAAGCAGAAGTATCAAATGTAAATAATCTGTAAACATTACTGACATAGGAGTAGATTCAATTAACACGAACAACCAGAGAGACAACTTGCAATTCAGCAACAGCCTTTTGTCATCAAGTCTTTATGGCTTGACAGAAAGAATGTTAGATTTGTTTCTGAACTTGTTAGTGCAATTTTTTTTTTATTTGAGAGGTCAGCTATAAGAAGAGTTAAACAGATGAATCCAGTATGACACCTCAGCTTCCAAGTTGTTTTTGAACCTGATCTGAAATTTGGCACTGGACTCTTACCTAGAGTCAAGGCATTTGTGATCTCAGAAATAAAACCACAGCTATTTTCCCGCAGGAGATGGTGGTAGTGGGGTTAAGTTCCATAAGGGATAATTCGTATTTCATATAAAACAAAAGGAGGAAAGCTTAGCAGCTTAACAGCATCAGAAGTGCAGCTGTATGCTTGGCCAGTACCTCTGCAACCCACACGTACAGCTTCATCTAATACATAATTAATTTGGAAAAGTGAATGAGGGAAGGAGAAGTAGGCAGCCTCATTGAAGAGATAGGTAATGCAGCATTTCAACAGTTCTTTCCTGGACACTCAGGCTCCTGCAAAGTAACCTTGGGCATTTACACCAGGAGTGGCTACAAACAGCATATTCTCCAACGCTGTCTGAATTTAGGTTCTCCTCTCCTGCCATTTCATGCAAAGCAACAACGAATATCCACACTTCTATCCAAAGCAAAAATGAGCGTCACTTTCCTTGACAGTGATAATGGTGTTTATAGATAATTTTTCTTTTAAATAGCGTACACTTGTTTTGGAATCAGAAGTCAAGCTTCAAGACACTCACTGTGTCTTCAACTTTCATCTGAGTTATCCATTCTTTGATTTAGGAGACACCACTAGGTGCTGGCATCACCATTTCCTTATGCTTACTGCTTTTACAAGCTATATTCATTCCCAGGACACCTAGCTCACTAGGGCATCTTTGCTCTTCCCCCTCATTTCTCTTCCAATAGAGAATGGGAAGAACTCCCATTAACCCTAACAGAAGTCAACATATCCGTGCACAGGACATAATAGACCTTTTAAGGCTATATGGCTGACCAACAGAAACAGGAAAATACATACATGTAACTGAAATTTTCTTCCATTTAGCAAAGGGTACCAAGATTTAATTGAGACTCTTCAACCCATTACCCTTACTTTCTTACATCCACCTTCTCCCCTTACCCCATTAATTTATGGGGAAGACTCACCGTGCTTCCCTAAGCAAAACAAGGAATAGATCACATCAAGTTTGCTCCATAGACCAAAAGGTAAAAAACAACAATAAAAGACAAACTGGTTCACAGTTAACTATAAATAAAAGTGCAATAAGTGTTCAAGTAGAGTGTAGAGTTTAAGCAAGCTGTACAACCACATTTGGCATAGTCATCTTTTAAAGGCTCTGCGTGGGTCCCTCCCGTTACTGACAGGAGGAGGAAGAGGCTGAATGCTATTAGCTGGTGATGGATTTACAGGTCCTCGTCCATTGCCTCTCCCACTACCTGCATAAGCATGGCCGTGATTATATGTAAATGGAAATCCACTTGATTCAGGTCCAGTTTGTAAACCATTTCCTAAAAAGACAGAAAAAAGGTTATCACACATTCCACTGACTGAAATCACTGCTCCCTTACACAAGTTTAGCTACAGGGAACACAAGGAGTTTGCAGCAACCAGCAAACCCTCAGCACCAGAAGGAAGAGGTAAAGCCCCTCTGGCCCTTCAAGACCCCAAACCACAGCTTACCTTCCCACTGCCCGCCCCCCGCCCCAACTACCTCCCCTCCACCCCTACTCCCCACTCTCAACTGAAGCAAGGAGAGTTGCATGCTGATTCTTTGCACAGGAGGGAGACTGGAGTCTCACGGAACTAGACTGGTGCTTTCAGGAACATGCACTGTGTTGTAGGTCACACACCAAGACATTCCAGAGATACAGCAGGGCAGCAGAAGTCAAGAACAAACAAAAGAAAAGCAGGCTACACAAAGCCCCTTGCGTCATTCCCCTCTACCAAGCACACAGAAACAGAAAGCTGCCTTGTGAAACCCAGCCACAGAAGCAACTCGGCTAGCATCAAGTTCTCATGAACTTGAGCCTCCTAAGCGTCACTGCTCATGTTTTGCTGGTAGGAAGACGGACAGAGCTGCAAAGGCAGAATGATGACAGGAAGCATGGGGAGAGAAGGAAGAGACAAAAGGAAATCATTGCATTTAAAGACTGCACAAGAAGCAGGAAGAGAACAAAGTTTCAGAAGGCACACACCAGCTCAGCAAAAACAAAGCTGTCCACCACCCAAAGCAGGGACACCAAGGAGGTGCCTACACACTAACTGGATGAAAGCTACTTGCCCCACCCTGGCACTGAGGAAAGACTGGCCTGAAAGCATTGCCCTTCTTTGCTCAGAAGTATTTCTTTTCAAAGGAACAGAAAGGGCTCGTAAGATAAGTAAAATAAGAGAAATTAAAATCATGTTGCTAAAGAGGAAGCAGGCAGTCACTGAACTGAAGCAACACAGAGCTTTTTAACAGCAGGTTATGGATCAGTTTGCTGTCATCCACCAGCAGAGCTCAGCTACACGACACCAGGTACTTAGTCAGGGCATCATTAGGCAGGCTAAAACTAAGGTTCCCTCTCAGCTTACACCCACTCAAGTCTTTGAAGCATTTTCTTATTTAAGCTGCAATGTTTAAATACATCATGAAATGATCCAGCCAGGTCAAATATTGGAATTCTGATTACTACTCCTTCTGTTTTGGGGAGCCCACTTGGCAGGAAAGCCAAGGTGACTGGCAAGATTGAAGTAATTTTTAAAGCCAAGGTCTTGGTCCATTTAAAAAAACCCCAGAATTTCAAGTGCTGCAAAAACTCTTTGAAAGCATCAAACAACTTAGGATTAGTCAAGTCCCTTTACATGGTACAGGCACCTTCAATATTCTGACCTCTTCCTCCTCTAGGGAACAAACCCTGAAACCATTATTCAGGAAATGTTCACGCTTATGTGCTTGCAGGTTCAGGCCCCATGGTATACTTTTGCCCCAGAGTGGAGAACCCTTAGCAGGACAAATTTCTTTTTTATTCCCAATAAGTGTTTCTCATCCTTTCACTTTCACAAAATGAAAAAACTTACCCAGTGGCCCAAAAGTACAAGAACCCATATTACTTGATGCAGAACTATTATTCTGTTCACCCTGTGCCTTCAGAGAAATGTAAAAAAAAAAAGAAAGAAAAATACATGAATCAGAGAGAAATTTCACATTTTTACAGAAAGGGGCTGATTTTTTTTCCTATATTCTTATAGTGGCTCCACATGGAATTTATCTGCTACTCTAATTATTGGCTCATTTTTATCTATGTATCACTTCAAGTCCATTTTTTCCAGAAGAGTCACATCTGATCACAGCCTAGCATGAAGCATTCAGAACAAAGAGCACTTTATGCCAGAAGCCTCAGACAAGTTTAACATACCAGTTTGTTCTGCCCGATATGTTCCGAGTTGGGCTCACTGAAGTTTGGCACTTCTGAGTATACCATGCAGAACCTGGGGAGAAATTAGGATTATGAGGAAGTCCTAAAGCCATTTTTTAACAGAGTTCTCAATGTCACAACTCAAAGAGCGTATGTTCTTGACATATCCCACCACCCAGAAGTAACTAATCCAGACCCCACTGTTCAGAAAGTACCCATAGGTATTAAAAGGCTCTTTGATTTCTTTATAAGCTTGTGGTGAAGCTGTCACATCTCCCTGGTGAGGGTGTTTCAGTCAAGCAGAGGCAAGTACACATTTACTCTAGGAGGTAAAATGGCCTAAAGAAAACAAAAGGTGATGAAAGGGCTCCCTTTGCCTCTCTTCCAGCTGCACAATCTTGTCCAGCACCCACTCACAAGGTCACCTGAGGCACAGAGTCACCCAGCCTGCTCCCAGACTCTGACTGCATTAGATCTCTAGGGAAAAAAACTTCCCCACACTCCCATGCTATGGGGTGCCCCATTAACATAACAGCACAGAGGAGTCCAAAACAGGGAATGAAATTCAAAGCATTCCTTTCCACTCAAGGGGACTACAGAAGAACAGGCCCACCAACTCGCCACGTGGAAATTAAGGCAGAGGGCAACAAAGGTCTGGCTCATTACACAGCTTGGACTAGGTAAGCAGAAGCGGAGCTCCCATCTCCTGCTGGGAGTCACAAGCCAGATGAGAACACACCTCACTCCAGCCTGCTGGAGAGCAAGCCCACTGGATGACACTTCTGAGGGGATGGCATTACACCAAAGAAAATCTACATGTCATCCCTCACAAAATCCAGCTGGGCATTTCTGAACCACCCAGACGAGAGGTGGCCGCCCCACAGCCCCACTCCCCTGATGACTACAAGGCCTCCTGCTGCACTTTGTGCAACAGCACAAGTACTCTTCTGGTTAGAAAATGGTGTTATTTCTCCTGTTGCTTGACAAGTATGTTTGTTCTTAGTCAGGAGGAGTCACCGCCTCACTTTGTGGGCAGTTTAAAGAAGGTCTAATGAGGCTTGCTTCTGTTTAGATATGATTCACTGGAGTTACCTTTGTCTTCCTTCTTTGCACTGCCTGTCTCTCAAGCAGGATACGCACAAAATAAAGTGGTTATTCAAGCTGAGGCCTAGGTAAGCAATGTAGATTAAGTCCCTTGTCATTAATACAATTTCCCCCCTCTAGATAAAGCCCAGACCTGTGCCATGACGGAGGCCAATTTTCCTCAATATACCTAGAATCCAGAGGGGGTCAAAGCTCATTACCACAACAGCACACAGAAACTCACACCACAGCTGCCTGTACTGTACCTATCCATGACCAGCCAGCACCCTTTTGCTGCCCTAGAGCTTCCATTTACCAAGAGCCACCACGTCCCATACTTACCATAATGCTCTGCTGAGAAAAGGACATAACACCGCAAGTATAAACACGTAATACTTACTCCCCAATTTTATGCAGCTCGCCTCCTCGTCCCGTGTAAAGCGTCAGGCATCCTTTCCACAGAGATGCATACCTGGCCAAAGAAAGGAGAAGCAAAGCAGGCTCTTAGCGAATGAGAAATACTACTGTCAAAAAAAGGAAGTAGAAGCACGCTATCTTCCAAGAGTTATCAAGTATTACATATCAGCATGAATGGACTAAAACAATTCCCAGGGACCCCAACTTCACTGCACTAAGAGTTCATAGATCCCCATGTTTTACTTCAAGCAAAAGGTACTGGAAGCTCAGTTGACTCCTTTGGCAACTCCAGGAAAGTGGCCAATTATTCTGGGATTGGGTGCTTTTTGCTTGGCTGGAAAGGCAAGGCATTTTGCCAAAAGCCGTATCTGTGTTACCATTCAGTGACAACTCTCAGTTCTGCTTTCAGGAGGAGCCAGGAAGAATTGCCATTCCTCACTGGAGAACACAGATACTGCTACTGACTGTGTATAATAGGAAGTGCTTACTTTTTTAGTATGGGTCCCTAACAGATTTTTTTTAAACGCGTAAGTTTGACCATCGTATTCCAAGTGACATATAGAAATGCAATGAAGTCATTTTTGATTGCGGAAACGTTCACTTACAAGACAGCATGAGTGCACTCCAGTCTTTGTAGTGGCACTTGACTTCAAGCACTGGAATTTGAGTTATGCAAAACCTTCTGTATAATTGTTCCTTTCAGTGAGGGGCATCATGTATGTGAAGAAAACAATGAAAATACAGACCAGAAACCCAGGTGCAGTGTGAGGGTGTTAACAGGAATATGGGTGTCTTCTAGCAAAGGAATAGGGAGCCCCAGCAATTACATTCTCACAGATAACCTGGACAAGTCACCACTTCCTTATGCTCTGGGTCTCTCTCTGGAACATAGATAACAAACCTTCCTCTTGCCCTTTGCCTTATCTGCCGAGGCTGGGAGCCATCCAGCTGCACACAGGGCCTCGAACAGAGGCACCAGGGAGGAGTCAGGTCAGCAGAACAGGACCATAATGCCAAACAACAATAACCACCTCTGTACTTCAGCACGACCAGTAAAGCATAGTACCTACAGCTATGGTGCCAACCTCAAGAGTTTTCCATCCAGAGGCAGGATTAATGCTCTTCACTTCCTAATGCTGCCACTTCAAAGATTCCCCTCTATGCCCAACCTTTAATAACCAGCCAGTTGGACAGTCTTATGGCAGAGCACAAAGGAAAAGAGCTACCAAATAATAAATGTAAGTGAAACATACATTTACTGGGACAAGACTCAGCAAACCATGGGACTGATAACCTCCAGCACAAAGTTACTCCACATATGCAAGCATTGTTTTTTGTCTCAGAAAGAGCTTGCTATAAAGCACTAACCTCCAGAATGAACTTCAAATTTAGAAATATTAACTGCAACAGCTTCCTGTAAACAAGTTAATCAGCCAATGACAAAAATCAGCAACAGTGTCTGCTTCTGCAGAGAAATGCATCTACAGCTTGAAGCTCAGCAGAAAAACACGTTTACATGTGGGGCCTGGCTAAGCTTTTCTGCTTGTAACCGCGAGCTTCCCACACTGAAAGTCAGATTAGCCTACTGAGCTGAAATATACCTGCCTTGCAATGGCAACATCACACACTCAAATTAATCCTATTTGGGTTAGGTATAAAATTGGGTTTGGAGACCCTCGTATGCCAGCATGACAGCATTTTTCTTAAGATGAGATCCAAACCAGAATGTATTTAGCTTTTTCCATTTCACACACTACACAGTCCTAAGTGAGCATACGATTCATGTAAATGAAGGCATGACTTATCCACCCACCAGGAATAGTGATGTCAGCTCATAGATTTAATTCATACAAGCCAAACTCACTTTTTGACATGAAGGGATGCAGTGACCCTCCCATTTGTTGCCCTGAAACACCAGAGCAGCTACAGTAAGCTCTAGTAACACAGTGCTGGACAGTACCGCTATTAATTTGTTTCAATGGGATCTACGCACAGGGCTTTGTGCTGGCCCAGAGCTCCAGTTTAGTTCCACCCGTGTCAGCCCTCCACGTGCTCTCCACGCAAGCAGGCTTCCCCAGAAGCACCTCTGCTGAGGAGTCAGCCTATTTCCTGTCAGAGGACATTTGCATAGGAGGAAGCAGCTGTAGTTTTGGTGGCAAAGTCATCCAATTTCAGTCCAAAACCAAGAATTATGTTCAAATGAACGACTTAAGAGCATCTCAGTTAGCAGCTCCACTGAGTAACCTTTTACCTACTTTTTCATAAAAACAAATTAAAAGGGCCTTACACACGCTGTAGTTCCACCGTCTCCTGGAGCGCTGCAGGCCAAAGGATCAGTGTAACACATTTCTAAGTGTAACCTGTCATGAAGAACTCAAATGAAAGTGACTATCACTTTACTACTGACAATTTAAGTGACATGAAAAAGGATTTTCAAATTGAATGTAGTAGTCTCTCACAACAAACATATGTTTGTTGTTTGGGGTTTTTTTTCCAAATTAAACCATCTCTGAGATAAATTAATTGCACCTAACCAAACATGCTCTACAGTGCAGCCCTAGCATGATTTTTTACAGTGAAACTGAAAAGGTTCTCCTCCTCTGCCTGTCATTTCTGTTAAACCCACTGCAATGAAAAGCGACTTTTCTGCACGAGAGACATTAATCACTCCCTCCTTTCATTAAGGAGCAGACCACTAGAGTAAAGAATTAGCCGTAAAAATAAGAACATGCTTTTGATTTCCCTGCTTGATTTACAGACCAGGACGGACTGTTGCATCCCCCTCCCCCCCATCCTAAAATAAGTATTTTCCTAAGGAGCTTTTTTAAAGCCAAACCAAGTCTCTTAACCACCGCCTCCTCATTAAAAATACAAGCCCCTCCTAGCCCTTTACTAGGTCGGACGCTCTCGCTAGGCATGTTCGGGAGGGAAAAGGTGGGTTTAATTTGGCAAGTGGTCTCAGGGTGCTGCCTCGGAAACAGGGCGCCAGTGCAAGAGGGGGG